AGTTTAGATAAAGTAATACCTACTGACACTGTGCATTTTCTGGGCGAATCATAAACAAATAAGTTTTTTTTTTCCAAAATACCACCTACAGTTATCGAATATCTTAAAAATAGTGTTAATATTAAAACACATTTAATTTACAACAAAAAAGCTCTTGATGCTTAAATTGCCCAAAGTTGTTATTTTCGAGATACTCGTAGGTTAAAATTCACTTATCGCATATTTTAAGAAATTTTCGCCCTTTTGAGATGTTTACTCAAATTGCATATCTTTTTAAAATGTTTTTTTTTTATATTTATTTTGTAGCTTAAGTAAAGAAATACCTATTGACACTGTGTATTTGCTGGGCAAATCATAATTAAAAAAGTTATAAATTATTGAAAAAATAAGTATTTTCCAAAATACTACCGATAGTTATTTAATATCTTTGAAATAGTTTTAATATTAAAAAAACATTGAATTTACAACAAAACAGCTCTTAATGCTTAAATTGCCCAAAGTTGTTATTTTCGAGATACTCGTAGTTTCAAATTCGCATAATTTGAGCAATTTTCACTATATTGAGATGTTATTCATGAGTGTTCAATCTTGAAAATATTTTTAACAAAAAGACCATTTAATTTCCATAAACTTTGCTGTTCACAGTTTTTTAATCATACGCATGAGTTAAGACATAATTATCTGGCTTCATCAAAGCCATTCATTCTTATCAGAGGCCTAAGATTCACAAATAAGAAATATACTATAACAATACCAAAAAAATACTCTGAACATTGTTACCAATATCAAAAAAGTTCGAAAATACGTGCGTGGATATTGTATAAATCGAGTGGAACGTATAAAAGAAAAGGAAAGAAGAATATTCGGGAAATAAAGGAATTTATCAACGCAAAACAACATCAACGAAAATGCACAACATGATATGTATACAACGGATGTAAATCCAGTCATTCCGGATGCCGAGAATACAGAGCAGGAAAAAAGCGATACCTTCAGGAATGACATTGGCACTATTGTGGACGTACGTAAACAAATCGATTCAGATATAAGTATCATTTCTTACCCCTTCAGTGCTTTTGAACACGATGAAGATGAAACTCCTGCACGGTAGCCGCAACATACCCAATAATGAATATAAAAGACTCGATATTGACTACAAAGTAAGCATTTCTGAGGGAGACTAGGACTAACCATTAAATGAATAAAAAAAAATACTCATTACTCACAAATGAATACATACTACCTATTTTTATAGTTGTAATTACTCATAAAAGGGTAAAATAGTACTCATTTAATGGGTAGTCCCAGTTTCATATTGAACAAGCGGCTTTCCGATGCACTTCCGAAAGATCCACGAACTCTTTTTAAAACTACGCAGTAAGTTTCACTAAATCTGGTTGGAGATGGCCAGTATTGGCATCACGGCTTAAACTTTGTACTGAAAAAGTTTCTAGTGGAATGGTGATTATAGTTTCCTGGATATTGAATTTGAATCTGCGTTTGTTTTTCAAAATTTGTCTACTTTTTATCTTCTTTGAAAATCCGCTCAGAACTCTACAAGATTTTATTGGAATGTTCTTATGAATTTCCTTTAGAATTATTCCCATTAACACGTTCTTTTAAGAATACATCTAAAAGAAATTTCAGATTCTCCCTGGGAGTCTCTTAATTTATAGGTAAAAGTCCAGAAATTTAAAATTTAAATTCAAAATCCGATTAAATTTTCTTTAGAACTCTCCCGCAGTTCACCTCCGAATGGTATAGGATATTTTTCTCAGAATTATGTTGAAGTTCTCCTGTAAAACTTCAGAAAATGCACTTGGAATTCTCCTTAGAATAGTCTAGAAATTATTCTCAAGATACCCATGGAATGGATCACATTATTCAAGCAGTTTAAAAACACGTATCGAACTTTGCCATGCAACATTATTTTGAGATGTTGTCTTCTAGAACCTCAAGAAAATAGAATCTTATTGATGCTGAAACATCAGAAATGATCTATATTGAAAAGTAATGAACAATGCTTCAAATAGTGATCTATCCCTGTGTGGCTTGGTGCCTGATGCCAAGCAGGGAGAGATCCAGATAATACACACATAATAAGTTCTAGAGCTGGAATTAGGGCTGTGATTAGGGTGTAACATCTGTTGTAAACAATGGCTTCTCTCAATGATTTCTAGAAATTCAAGGCTCGCCCACTCAAATCAACATCACTATCGGGTAGGGGAAGTCTTCCCCTACCCGATGGCTATGTTGATTTGCGTTGGCGAGCCTTAACTTTCTAGAAATCATAGAAAGAAGCAAGGGCGTAGTTACTATGAAAAATTTGGCCGAATGCCATTTCAACGCCATTTCCCGAAAGTTTTTGTGTTGCCCTTCTCTGGCTACGCCTATGGAAATAAGTCTTGTTTACAAAAGCTGTTACGCCCTAATTCCAGCTCTATCTAAAGTTGTCCTTCTTTTCAAAAAAGTTATGGAGTGTTTACATCTGTGTAGATTTACTCGCGCTAGTGTACTCGCCAACTAGCACGAATTTCAGTTGCTCCTGAAATTTCATGCTGATAGACGCTGATGCCCTGTTTATATTATGCTTTTTTGCTAGCAGCTAGCTCATTAGCGCTAGTGAAATAGCATAAGTGTAAACAGTGTAATTTTGCTATGGGCGTTTGGTTGTTGTTTGACGATGATCAGTGTGCAGTCAGAAAATGCAACTTTCTGTTTTTCATTTTATTATGCCACGAAATATTTTGTCAAAAACCATCATTCAATATGCATCCATCCATGTTCACAGAATGAAACTAAAAAAATAGTGTTCCATCGAATGAGATAGCCTCGGAGATAGCTCGATGCGAAAAAAGGTATGAATTACTTTACGGAAGATACCAATACCGCCTTCTTAATTCTTGATCTACTTAATAAGAAAATCATCATCAAATTGTTTGGCACGCGATGACAGTACGTGGGTTTTGTACCAGAACCCTTTGCATTTTGATTTGATCTGATTAACACTTGTCGCTATCAAGGGCATACATTCATGTGACAATCGTGGAGATTCAGAGGTGTACTGACGGTTGTCGTGGCGGGTAGCATGGGGTTGATCATCTATCAGCAGCTCACACGTGAGATATTGAGCGCTTTATCGCCAATAGCTCTTGTGTACAGGTTTCTGGCCTATTACGTGCCGTGACGTTTTCGGAACCTTGTGTTGACGGTTACTATCAGGATTGTTAACCGATAACCGTCGATAACGTCAACGTTAACATTTGAAATTGTGAATTTGCATTCCAGACGTTATCGACGATTATCGATTAACAACCCTGGTTATCATGCGAAAGAGTGACGCATGAACGTAATAGAGTTCGGTCGAGACCACTTAAAAGATGAGCAATACTTCTTGCCACAATGATCAGTCCTGATCGAGTCTACGTGACTGCCTTCATCAAGCCAATTCCATTTGAATAGCTCCATGTCACCGGGCTTATCGTAATGGTTTGTAATGGATCGTTTATCGTAATGGTTTGTTGTTATGTAAGGAGTTCGGTGGCCAATTGGCGACCATTTTTGCTTACTGAGTAGAACATCGTGGGTTAAATACCAGGGTCCTTTTGTATTTTTGTATAGATGAAGGTGGATAATTGCTTGTGGTAAAACTTGCTCGAAACAGACAACGTTAAAAATCATACAAGGGGATCGGTGGCCTTGTGGTGTGAATCCTAATCTAATCTAATCTAATCTAATACAATACAATCGCAAGCAGTACGAGAAAGCATCCTGGAAAATCATTAGAATAGATAAGACCTAATCATTTTTCTTGTCAACATTGATGTTTGCAGCATATCTGAGATATGACACAAACATCAAAACGGCCAGGCCTACTGCGTTGCATTTGCCGCAAAGATGATTCTGTGAAAGGTTTTGAGTTCAAATAAACCGTGGACGCACCATATTCGAAGCAGTTCCTATATCGAAGCACTCCAAAACATTCGACTATTTTAAATAATTATTTTAGAAATGTTACTTCTGCAAATATTAGTTTCAGTGCTCTAGGGGGATGATGGTGTTACAAGGTTTTAAAAAATATCTTGTCAAAATAGACGAGTGCGTCATCATTAAGAACGCGTCAAATATGGTGCTGGTATGGTATATCTAAACAGCGATGCATTTCGTGAATCTTCAGGGAAGGAAGGATGCGTGGACATACCGTACCAAACGCTCCGAGCTAGGTTATGAGTGAATGTAATAATAATATGCAATGTAATGAATGGTATATAAAATACAGTGTAATGGAAGGATCTCACCAAATGCCTCAATGTTAACCAAATTCTCGATTTCCATTTGACGTTTGTCAGCTGTAAGCTTCTCTCTTGCACTTGAAAGACCTACCTCGGTAACATGATGGCACTGAACGATGGGACGTTGAGGGTTTGGTGGCTTGATAGCGGCCCCAGGAACAAGCTGGGCGATATTGTAGGTCCTACAGATCGTCGATGTACATGCACTCGCGGAGTTCCAAATGGAAGATCTTCCGTTGCTGATGATTGGCCATTTGCGCCAGAAACTGAGCTGCTCGTGAAAATAACATCTTGAATCTCGGCTTTGATGGCGACCCAGAACCGGGCAATCGAATCCAGGTCCATCTATGGTTATAATTAATTTTCATAACAATTGTACCAAAACTCCAAACTTCAAGGATACCCGAAACACTGCAATAGTTCTAGAATTCATTTTAGTTAGTAGCAGTAGACATGAATTAAATCGCATTATTCTCCGTACAGCCATACAATCCGCAAAAAAGCCACATGCTGCGAACAAATTCAACTTGTTCCATTACCCAGGCTAATAGCGTGATAGTGGTACGAAAAGTTACTTGAAGGTCAGTCAGGATCAGCGGTCTTTTTCATTACAACCCCAGCAGCTTAAACTTGATTTTTAATTATGGCAATTACAGTTTTCATTTTTCTTTAACCTTTTCTCTGTCTCTACATTTTTCCGTCCTGCAGAATCCGGCCTGGGTCCGTCCGATAAGTATGATATATTGGAAGAGCACAACAAATTGCGCCAGGCGGTCGCACAAGGGCTCATACCTGGACAACCAGGCGCAGAAAATATGCTGGAAATGGTAAGAAACATAGTATGGACTTTTAATTTTCATCTTCTCGAGATGGGTTTCCGGCGATAACGAATTTTTGCTGGGGTTGAAAATTTTCGCTCTGTTTCATTTTCGTTTTTTTATTCGGTCTCGTTTTTCATTTCTTTTTTTTGCAGCAGTGGGACGATGAACTAGCGAGCAAAGCGCAAGAGTGGGCTGACCAATGTATATTCAAGCATGATCCCAAGAAGAAATTAGGTACGGTTGATTGCGATGAAATTTGGCACATTGGTAGAGATGAGTCTAGCAAGATGGTGTGAAAATTTAAGAGTGATGCTTGAAATTTTATATTCAAATTAGTTTGATGCGAATGTAATTATCGAACTCTATCTACGTTTTGGTCAAATCGTGCTACTATCATCTACCACTGTACTGCCGCTATTCGCACAACAGTCTCATGTCCTGTAGATTTCTTATCTACATAGGGCTGTTATGCGAATAGTGACAGTGTACTCGTTGTTAGCTTTTAGCAAAATGAATGCATATTTCAAATACATCTTTAAACCCAACTCATACCAGCCGGTACCATTACGACACATTTTTTGCATTCTTTTCTTTCACATCAGAGCGTTTTACGATGGGACAGAACCTTGCTCTTATCTGGAGTAGCGCCTCTTTGGACGATGACCGAGACAGCGATTTTCCCGGGCGCATTCGAAAGTGGTTCGACGAGGTTAAAAAATACTCCTTCGGTGCAAAGTTCTCTCTGGCCACCGGTCACTATATGCAGGTACGTACCTCAGCCCGTTAATGTTGGCATGTGCAGCCATAGCAATTTAGTGCTGGCAAAATTGTATGAACAGATAGCGCCGTTTATTCGTCTGCTCACATAGGTACTCTCTTCTGAATACCACACACCACCCACAGCGTGTTGGGTTTAAAATTGTGGAAAAGTATATGAGACATGAAAGAATCGTCAAGAGCTGTGAAAACTCTTTTCATGTTTCCTCTATACAAATACTCACGTACATTTCTTGATTTTCTTTTTTTTTCCTATTTCGGTATGCATGACGGTCTCTTGTTTGAATTCAATTCGGAAAGTCGTTCTATCTTGTTTTAATTACATTTGATGGTGAAAAGCATTTAGCACAACGAACAGATTTTCTATCATAGTCCGTATCGATAAAGTTGTACTGAACAGCAAATGAAGAAGATCGTGATTTGGAAAACATTTGCCGTATTTATTTATTTATTTATTTATTTATTCGGCGTCAATCAAATGTAGACCAGTTTAAGTTACAAAAAACATGTAACATCTATTTTAATTTTTAATTTCTGACTAACCTCGAAAAGAAACGTTTTGTCAAATCAATTATTTCATGATGTTAATTATAACAAGACATCATTATATTTACAGGCGCGTAGCATAGTTTGTTCTTTGGTTGTTAATATAAAACTTGTTTCATGTTTTATAAGTGTTGTTTAAGAAACAAGGAACGGGAGCATACAAAATTAGATTTTCTCAAACCTCTGTGGCATTCACTCTATGTGCTACAACATTGTTTATAAAAGCTATCATTGCAAACTGCTTCCGCTTTTAAAGTGCATCCAAATTGATCAACAAACATACATACATCGAGGTTCATTAGATGGTAAGGGTAAACTCGTCAACCTACCTTTCTTGGAGCAAATAATAGAAACTGGTTTTGAATTGATATGGAGCAAAGACTATACCACAGTACTCGAGGAGGGGCCTAACATATGCTACGTATAATGTTTTTAATGTGTATGGATCATTGAAATGAAAACTAAACCTTTTAATAAACTCTTGCATGCTGCTTGCCTTGTAGATAATGTTATTATAATGTTCAACAAAGCTTAACTTAGAATCTAGTATAACGCCTAAATCTCTAACTAGATTACACCTTTTAACTCTGTTTTGTCCATTTGTTACATGTTCTTGCCTAATAATTTGCTTTTTTGTAAATGAAATGGAATAACATTTCATCACATTAAACTTTAATAAAAATTTTGTGCACCAAGTCTAAAAGTTATCAATTTACTACAAGATCAGACGCTTCACGAATTTCCAGGAAAAGTTTCATGTTCTCTGCATATATTGAAACATTCAGGAAATTCAATATGAGCTCTACATCATTAACAAATAGAATAAACAGTAATGGTCCAAGATGGGAACCTTGTGGTACACCAGATGTTACATTGACTACTGATAATAAATGTCCGGTCAAGAATGACTGAATCCACTTTAAAAACTGTTGACTAAACCTAACTTAGATAATTTGAATAGCAAAAGATCGAACGCTTTAGTGAAGTCAGTGTATAGTGCTTCAACATAATGCCCCATATCTATTGCGTTGATAGAAAATGTTAGTAGTATTAGATTATTAGTCGTTGAACGTCCTTAAACAAAACCATGTTGCTTGCCTGTAATTAAATGCTTATCTTGTGAGAAAACATTTTTTTTTATTATAGATTCAAATAGTTTAGGAATGCAAGACAATATTGCAACTCCACGGTAATTTTTTACACCTAATTTTTTCCACTTTTGAAAATTACACACTACGAAAAAGACATGTAAATTTCAGTGCCCTGAGACCGACACATGCAAGCGGCCCTTTTGACGTAAGAATCAGTTGAAAAGGACGAGAAAATCACTTCAATCAAACGCACTTTTCGTCGAGTTGCATATGTTTCAGTTTCAGGACACTTAATTTTACATGTTATGTTTGTTTACGTTCCATCATTTACGTCAAAGCTGAATTAAGTCTCGTGTAAAAATAATAATTTGTGTAGTGTGTAGAATCAGAAACGATTCCTTCTCAATTGAGGGAAGAAAACAGAGAGATGAGTTGAACAGCCAAAAGAATGGCTTTATTTCCTGCGATACTGATTACAAGAATACTGGTGGCAATGCACCATCACCTTTTGATGCATGCAATGTTTTTTGAGAATGTAAGATTTCGTTGAGGGTAACATTATTAACTACAGTATCTCTCATTGGCTCAGGAACGTATGAGGAATACTGGTAATCCCGGTCTTGGTCATTATGACTTGTGTAAAAATCCTGAAAAAAACTAAGCAAAGAAGTTAATGATCTCGCTAGTTGTTTTTCGTATTTTGTTGTCTAGGTAAATTTTTGAAGGATAATTATTTGACTTCTGTTTATCTCTAACAAAGCTGAAAAACGATTTCGGGTCTGATTTAATGTTGTCTTTAACCTGAGTGTTATACCGTTCGTATGCGTTTTTATTTCACAGTTCAATTGATCGCATATGTTCAAATAAATTGTGAGGTTACCATTATTTTCATCTCTTTTACAGGCTTTGTGTGCCTTTTGTTTTCTATTTTTGAGATTATTTACTTGCCTATTGTACCATGCTAGAGTTTTAGATTTCTTTGGTTTTTTTCCTTAGCTTTTTCGGTACTGTCTTCTCAAATAATTTGATAGAACGTATCTACAGCCTGCTCTGGGCTCGAATTTCTAATCATACTTTAACAGTCAATAGAATTCATTTTTTTTTTTTTAATAAGCTCATACTTTGCATGTCTAAAGTGAAAATAGGTTTGCAACAAATCGCCATCAAACATTATGGTGTTATCATGTATAAATACGAAGAATTCTATTGCAGTATGGAATATTTAATTTTTCCGGTGCGGGAGCCTCAATCACGCAAATTTATCGGTCATATTCGTAAATAGTGAATCTAAATAACAACTGGTATGATTTCTGACATGATTGACTTGATAAAGTCCAATCCCTGCACTTTTGTCAAATAATGACTGAATCGTTTCGTTGTCTCCAACAATCGGCAGCAAAACAGATTCATTTTTGTCATCAACAATAACATTAGCTGCTCGTTGATTAAAGCCACCGTAAACATGAAAATTTGCTTCAGGCTCACATTTAGAAATAATAGTATCAGAAATACTAAAACACAATTCATATTATTCTTTTTTGGCACTTTCAGGAGAAAAATACACTGTCGCAAAGATATGCATTTCCAATAAAATATTTGACCCAAACATGATCAATATCCTTGCTTTTGCTTACACACTGCGATTAATACACCTCCAGTAGACTTTTTATTGGTTAACGTTTTGTGACGATCATCCCTAAACACAATAAAGCGATCTCCGAAAACTTCTTTACTATTTACGCTGGCATCCCAACTTGTTTCGGTGCCTAAAATGATAGGATAACTAGAAGTGGCTACTTGTTTATACATTTTATTGACCTTTATCGCAATCTTCATCCTGTTAAAATTTTGGCAATAAATTACTATTTCTTTGCTATCGCACTTTCTCTTGCTATTGACGCAAGTCTGTCGTTTTTACTGTAGAAACTCTATCGGTCAACAAATTTAAATTATTAAAACTAATTACCTCCCTCTCACGCGGAGAGGTCGTGAATTCCTGGCGTACGTCGGGATCTACGATAACGTTGTCTTCCTCCAAGTGGTGCATTAATTCCGTAGAAAACCGGAATGCTTGCAAGAACACGCCTCGCACGATGCAGCTGAACGTCCTGGAGCCAACCTGTTGGGCGGGTGCGCTAAAGCTGGGCGCGGGAAAACATCACTCGCCGGGTAGGGGTTTAATATTTCACCCATTTGAAATTTGATCGTTGGTTGGTAATTATTCGGTGGCCTTGAAAACCGATCTTTCGCTGCCGCAAGAAGGTCTCTATCATGAGGAAGACGGTTGTTTTCATTCTGTCTGTTGATGTTTTCTGTCTGATGATGATCCATTCTGTAGTTGATATTGTGCTGGTTTGTGTAATTATTGTGATTGTGATTACGACTGTGACTATGATTCACATTTTTTTTAATTTAGCATAAGCATGAGCATGAGCATGATTGACCGCCCACGATTGCTACTCTGTTATTGTCAGACCAGCTGTAATTACACAGAGAATCAATAGACGATGCTTAAGACTAGCAATCATCCTCAATGTGTAAAATCTGGTGATCTCAAACTAGGCAATACCAGCGCCGGCCGCGCCCGAACACAGGTCAAGAAAGGGAAGGTGTAGGAATGTGTTGACGTGACACTCGCTTTGATGGAAGCCGAGAACACCTCTGCACTTCCACGAGGAATCACTGGGATATTGGGTAATAGGGTTGGGTTTACAGCAGGGTTCGTTTTGGTAAACGATAAGCTGAATTGATATCCTAACAATCATATAACGCGAAGGAGCTTAGGATTGAACCCACGGTCTTCTGCTCAGTAAGCAAAAACGTTTGCCACTAGGCAGGCTTCCTTTTTGTTGCTGTTATTACCATGTAGTGATGTTAACAAATAAAACGATTGACGAATCTTGAATGTGGATGAGCTTGAGATAAGACTCATGATGTTCTGCTCAGTAAGCAAAACCGGTTGCTCTAAGGCCACCGAGCCCCCCATATCACATTATAGCGTTACTCAAGTTTTTATGACTATTCAGACCCGGCCCCGACGACAACGAAAAGTTTTACGAATTACACGATTAACAAGCGATCTAACCAAACATTTTTAATATGAAAAGATCTGGGACCGTGTTTTTCTGCTCAGTAAGCAAGCCACTGCAACCGCCGATCTTTGAAATCCTTAAACTAAAAGCTATGAAAGAGGCCTTCATTAAGATCCATTTTCACGCGACGTTAAATGTTTCGATTTTCTCTTTACGCATGGTTCAGGTAATCATAACAAGCTATGACCGACGTGACGATTGTTTAAGACCTGGTTGAACAAGCTATTTAAATGAAATTACGTTCTCGAATTTTACTTGGCATGTAATGAACAACAGAAATACGCGATAATTCATATTTTCAGCGGTTGGTGGTTAATATTAAATATACTAACGGTACTGCCTACGACTACGACGGCGATTACGACAGCGACTACGACGGCGCCTACGACAACGACAACAGCGAATTTATAACTTACCATTTGTCTAGGATAAACACCTTTGCCCGGCACCTCCACTGGTTCTTCATGTCCGCTATCTGTCACTGTTAGCAAAATATCTAATAGCAATTACCTTCCAATACCAATACTTCCTGTATTGCCATGGTCATCTGGGAGGAGGGTCGCATCTAGTGCTCTCCCCAGGAACCGTTCACAGCCACCAGCTACTGCCCGTCCAGTCTTGGGCGTATCCAGCGAGGCATCCTTCAGATTACTTACAATCTCCGACACTCAATGCAAATCGCAGGCACACTTACGCTAGTTATAAAAAAAAAAACACACACACACACCCGTGCAAAGAAACGGATCAAATAAACGTCACTCTCGCGAAAGCACACCCGTCGTCGTCGAACGGCACAAAAAAAGGAATCGGTGGGCAATTTTGTGATACGGATTTCCAAAATCAACCTGGAATGCACGAATTTCACCACACCCAACTACGAAACACGTTCAGAAGCACTTTTGGTACACTTTCGTTCGAAAACACTTAATTTTTTTCAAAAATATTTGCGAGTGAACCAACATCATCACTGCGTAAATAAACTAAAATTAAAATTATCGCTCGCGATGCCACAAATTTCTAGACCGGGAGAAAAAATCAAACAACGCAGATAGCGTCAAATCTTCTGTTGCTTGCAAATATGATGAATCATGTTTTCTTTCTCGATTCTACACTCATAAAATAAATCACATAACCAGTAGAAAATATCCATGTGAATTTCACATAACTTTCATGTGATCCCATAATTGGAAATTGCACCACTAAAGCACATGAACGTTATGTGTCCAATGAAATCTATATGATTAGTCACATAGAATTTCTGATGTTATGTGATATTCGAATAAAAATTATAATTTTTGGTTTTTGGAAAATTATTATGTGCTTTCCTAATAGAAACTAAGTGAAAACTTTTTTCAGTGTAAAACTTCTCGGAAAGTGACAAAAACCACCACTCACACACGTATAACCGTCCGGGAGGCAGAGTGCCAGCGCTAATCCGGCAAATGCAGCCAAAAACTATGAAAGCTAATGCACGCACAAAACAGAGAAGAAACTTTAGACACAACTAGGGCAAATGATGGCTTCGGCAGCCATCGACTATTTTCGGCAACCACAATTTAAACGTTAATTTAGCTTTATTTTCTCACTAAAACACTTCGCTGAATGTATTCAAACGATTCCTTAGTCTTTCAGGTTCAATCCTAATACATTTTCACGACTGATAAAACCTGTTATGTCATGTGTTTCTTCAAATGAAACATAAGCACATGAAAATACGGCTGATTTCGAGTTGCCGATAATAGAACAACTGGTTAACACACAGTTTAAACGGAAAGGTTGCCGAAGTAAAAGAGGCTGCCGACAATAGTCACACTCACCTGAAAAGTTTGGAGCGCCTTAAAAACGTTTTCAAACCGTTTTGGACAGTTCTGTCGATTGAAATGGATAGAGTAGCTAGCAGCAGATAAATGTAAACAAACAAACACGTCATATGTGTGCGTGACACTGAGGAAGTGCTAATAGAAGTGCGGAAGCTGCTTAGATTGCCGAGAATACGTAAATTCCCCTATGATTCACATTTTTTTTTATTTAAAATAAAAACCCGGTTTTCTCAAAATCGTATTTTGTGCATTTTTTTTTAAATTTTGGAACGTTTTATGGGACAATGAATGCCACCTATTGCACTGTATAGGTCAATATTGAGAAATGATGGACAAAAAAGTTATGATTTTTGAAAAAAAAAACTCAAAAAGTTTTTGGAAAGATATTCAATACCAAGTATTTCAATTATTCTATCGACTTGATATCTTGAAAGTAAATCAAATTTACAACAAAAAACACTTACATAAGTCACACCGTTTTCGAGATGTAGCGGTTTAAACGTAGATTTTTTTAAATGTTGGTAGTTTTTGGGCATTTTCAAATGTATTCCACGGTTCTCCAGCTTAAAAACAAAATCCGGAATCGAAACTAATTTAATTTTTTTTTGGAATCTGCACTAATACTTGTGCATTTCACAAACGTCAAAGAAGTCTATTACCGGTAAAACCGATTGAACAGCCCTAGTTTTCAGTTGCTTTGACATTTTTCTATAGAAAAATAATTTACAGAGGAAATTAAACGTATGAATTCTCGATGAAAACCTACACATATTAGGGCAAATGCACCTATAAATGCGGCACGTTATAAGTGGTATAGTTGTGTATGGAGTCTCCATACACAGTTATAAGAAGCTAACGCTTCTAACGTACCGCAACTGTAGGAGCGTTTGCATGTCTCGATTAAGTTTTGAATCTCCATTTGTCGATCAAAAAATCGATTAACTTGATTCGCTTTCTATGACGACCAGCACGGTATTTTTGCACAAACGATACGTACAATCAGTCTTTAATCCAATCTTTGAACTTTTGGTTGTATGCATTAATATAAATTAATTCATATTTGATCGACAAATTGAAATAACACCTATTCAAAAATCAATTGAGCTATTAGTTACACACAGGTACCGTTGTTTGTGGATGGATTTTTAGCCGATATTCCTTTCTCCCCAGTCCTAGCTGCCTGATCTGTCGTTGAGAATCGCTCGAAACATTCACTAAATTTGGTGGTGATTTCCTAGTCGTAAGAATGCATGTCTTTCATTTGCTTTCAGTTTTATGACGGCCACAAATCTGTATATGCATATGTCCCATGTTATGTTTAAACACCATGTTATGTACGAAAATCTTTTAATTCTTAGGTGAATTACGGAAATGAAATCGATGACTCATATCGCAATAAAAAAAATGCCGAAAACTCCAGTTGCATTACGTACATTTATCTATTTTCATTTCCTTCCTCTTGTAGCTAATATGGGCTGATTCCTTCCTTGTTGGCTGTGGATACTCGTACCATTATTCCGGAAACAAATACAACAAATTGTACGTCTGCAACTATGGCCCAGCGTAAGTGCACTATAAAACTCCTGTCTTTGCTTAACAACATTGGCCATTATAATATGACTTTTGCCTTATCTTCCTGCCAACAGAGGAAACGTTCAAGGCCAGCTTCCGTACGTCACCGGACATCCTTCGTGTGAGCAGCATGGTCTGCAAAAATCCCATACCTACCCAGGTCTGTGTGTGCCAGGCGGCGAAGTGGATCCTTACCATCACGACAATGTGATTCCTCAGAATTATTATTCTTATCAAGCCTCATCAAATAATCATGAGAATCAACACTACACCTCGGCACCGGCTAGGCCTGCCCCCGTAGCCTACACTGCGGCTCCCACCAGCACAAATCATCAACAACCATACGACAATCATATCCTGTACAATCTCGTGTTTGACCAGCACAAACAACAACAACAACAACAACAACATCACCAGCAGTATCATTATCAGGCACAGCATCCGTCGCATCAGCAAACATATCATCACCTGCCAAGCCCTGCGTCGGTGGTCACTGCAACGGCCAATGCTGCCGCAAATCTTCTCAAGCCTGGAAACATCTTGAAGTCACCCTTTTTGTCGTACCGATGGGATTTGCTGTTCAATTCCCTGCACTAAAATTAAGGATTACGCTTCCATTTCAAGGCACAGAGAGCATCTTTTCCCACCGAAAATCGTGTGCCATTCTTCTCTGTTCAGTGTTGCTTTCGGGGACTAGGTAGGATTCCAGTCGGATTTAGCAACGTAGCATACACAACTGTGGCATGAAAATTCCGAAAGATGAAAGCGAAAACTTTCTACTACAAAATAGTTCCCTGTCACTTCCGGGTAACATGTTGGAAGGAACAGACAATGGGTACAAAGATGCAAGCATATCTTTGGGACAACCTGCGCATCAGAATGAAAAAATAATCCTCGCTTGCACCACACAACACAAACATCAACAGCCTTCCGGACAGGGACTGTCTCCTTCCCCAAAGCCCTGAAAAAGGCCCAAAAAGTGCAGCTCGTGTCTGCTACCTCACATACACACTTTATCAATGGTTAACGAAGACAAATAAACCCAAACAAAAGATCAACAAAGAAATAACAAAATCTTGTCAAGTGCTAAACCTCATACTTATTGCAGTGTTTGGCAGAGACAATAGTGAAGCTGGATTACCAATCCTACTGCTCTCGAGGCTACTCGACGTAGTAGTTGAAAATACGACAGCAGAACAACTTTTATCTCGGGTTAGAAGCAACCAGTTCCGGCGAGAGGCGGCGAGAGGAAATTTCAACAGGAAATGGCTTATTCTTCTTTCCTGGGCGGCAGCGGGAGATAATAATTAGACTGGAAACTCAACGGCTGTGGTGGCAATTGTGGCGAACGAAGCAGAAACATGGTCATTTTTTGACGTCGTCCGGTGTGGTTAGTAGGTCAGCGACCATATTCAGTTCACATTCGACATTTTAAATTGTTATTATTGGACTTGACTGTGCCCTCTACTATATTGATGGTAAGACTTTTCTTGGTAGGTAAATTGGTTGGAAATTTTTTGAACGAGATCTTGAGCTGCAAATTCGACCCGACTCAAATCTTACTTGGCTGGCAGTGGCATTATTATATTGGTAAAATCAGCCTCCAATGCTTTATTATGACTCAGATAGTGTATTGCATCCATTGCAACTTGCAATCAAGTACCGTAAGGTCGCCATTCGCCGCTCACTTATGCTTATTATTATTCAGCTAAACGTAATTAAGCGACAAGAATATAAAAAATCACCCCACAGAAATTCAGTGAATGGCATACAATGCACGATAGTTTGAAAATTTCAAGTTCAAAATATTAAGCCTTTTAAAAATATTAGAAAACGATCCACCCCCCCCCCCCTCTCCACTTTTCGTGACGTTTTTCCTATACCTAATCCATTGCTTATCACAAAATCATAAACCCCCCCTTAGACCGTACACAGTTATTTACGATATGCTACACAAAGAGTTTCATGACTATCACAGAGGGTTAGAAAACACAAATGTCAGCTTGTCCTGAATCTCGACACATCCACGTTTTACCAATCTTACTGCAACGGCTTTAAGAGACTTCCGGTCACTGTAATTTCATTTCCGAAATCTTGATAACCTTATCGGATCGCAATTGTATATACAGCATCAGCCTAGCTTTAAGTAAAAACCTACGATTACTGAAACATTTGCCCGACGATGTAGGTTCGTGCGACAGCTCTGGTAAGAACGCTGTTATGTTGGTGAATGGTTGCACACATCGAATAGGAAAGTGCACAGAAGCAAAGATAAAGGCGTTAATTTATTTATTATTCAGTCAAAAGAGTACAACGAACAAGAGCATCTCCTCCACAGGAAGGTATCGATGCTTTGAAAGTAGGTACATAGGTAGATGAATCGATCGTTGAATAGACGTCTCAGGCTCAGATGAGCAGGGATTTTAGTGCAGTACGCAGAAGAAAGAGTAATTCTGTCTGGTAGAGGATAATCATCGATTTGTATACACCCTTCGAGTAGGAAAATCATGGTCGATTTTTTGTAGGGAAAAGAGCTGCCGGTTAATTGTGCGTGGAAAAAAATTTGATTATTTTGACCGCAGTTTTACACCATAACTGATTAAACAACACTTTGGTAGATGGTGCCGATGATGGATTGAAGTACAACATTATCATTTGTAACGTTCTATAAAAACTAGCATTGATTTTTACCTGGTTCTATTTTGTCTTCATCTATGTACAGAATCTACAGTTTTTTTGTAGAATTGGTATGTATGTATAATGTTAGAGTAAGCCTTAAGTTAATAAAGCTGATCTTTGTTAAAGTTAGGTATAATGTAAAGTTGTATAAAACTGACCACGATTTCAGCACAGTCTGGAAAATTATTTTATTATGTATATTACATGGAATTAAATCAAATACCAATCAAATAATGACAACATACATACCTGCGTTTTGCATTTATGGTATTGATGACATCCACAATTCTGCAACGTGTGACATTTTGGTGTTTCGTGTTATTTTCAAAAAGTATAATTCATTTAGCATCTTCTTTACTTACTCATCTTACCATTCAGGCTAAGGCGTAATTGTCTTTGTTGTCCTCAAAAAGCGTCTTCATTCAACTAGACCGATGACTACAGATCACCTTCCATCTGGTAGATCCACCTCTTCATCTTGTTCCAGTCGGGTTGTTACCGAGAATCATTTTCACCGGTCTTTCGTCCGACATTCTAACGACGTGCCCAGCCCTCCGTAGTCGCCTCATTGTTGCTGTGTGGACGATGGGTGATTCTGCCATCAGCTGGTGCAATTCATAGTTCATTCTCCTCCTCCACGTTCCATCTTCCACTCCACCGTAGATGGTGCGTTGCTCCAACACGAGCATGGTCCATGATTCGTGGCTGTATAGAACGACCGGTATAATAAGCTTTTATTAGATCAGGGTGAAAACGGCGCCGGTGGTGTAGTGGTAAGCGTGATTACCTCTCACCCCAGCAGGCCTGGGTTTAATCCCAGTCGGCGCCGCCGGGATGTTCTGAGGCATAACATCTCTGATCACGCCTTCATTCGGATGGGAAGGAAAGCAGTTGGTCCCCGGTTCATGAGTTGATGGGTCGATAGGTACCAGGTGTGGGAGCTGCCTTCCTGGCACGTCGGTAGCATTGGTGCTCAGCACGGCAAACAAGATCGACGGAAAAAACAAACCAAAGGAAAAAAAAAAAAAATTCCAATTCAAATTATCCGTATAGTTCTCATGCAATTCACCTCAGATGTTAGACCAACAATTGAAAAGCTTTTATGAGCAAAACATGTAATCCCCCTTACCTGCCAACACCATCGAGCATTTCTCCCGTATGTCACTCTTGAGCTGGTCCTTAAAAGTGACTGTATCCTGAAAACCTTGTCCAGTCCAACGATCTTGAAATCTTATTGTTTTCGAAGAGAGGACGAGGTATATTTTTGCAGATTTGTCATCTTTCGGGTTTTTTTTCCCGGTGACTGGTCACTCTGCATTTTACATATGTAACACTTGTTTTTAATCCCATTATATTTTTTTATGTGTTGAGCATATTTTGAGACCCAGTCCCGCAAGAAAATTATTATTCCAGTGGGAAATCGTAAAAAAAAAACAATGCTTTCACCTCCAAAATTATGTAGGTTAATTCCATCTAAATTGCAATAGCACCAACATTGCAATACTAAAACTTCACTGATAAGCTTATTTTACAAGCAAACCAGGTTTCCAATGAAGACCCAAGAAACTCAATAAAACGCTTCTGTGCTGTCAAGGCAATGCTTGTTTACGTATATTTGAATCATTATTCAATCATTAAAGTGCTATTCCAAGCAACAACAAAAAACCTCCCAACCAAGACCATTATCCTAAATTCTCATTTAGTTATTTCTCTGAGTTAATCAAGCTGTTAAGAACGCAATAATGAACAATAACAAAACAAAAAAAAATCATCATCAACAACTCAGTTGAATTGAAAAAAAAATAAAAACTGATACAGGCTCAACTCAAATTCAACTGAGTTGATCAATGATTTGCCTTATCTTAACCCAGCTCAACTCTTTATCATTCTTTCATTTACTCGAAGGCGTTCCAATGCACTCAAGGGATTGATTTTTGTTGGGCACAGCTGGATCGAGCAGACGGACCAATCTACTCGAAGGCAGTGTTGGAAAAGTTCGCGATATTTCACGAAGTTCACCAAGGGAAAAGTTCGCGTGTCATAGTGAGTATTCGCAAACTTTTCCATCACTGCTCGAAGGTTACATTTTGCCAGACGCAATTAGGTGTAAAATCTATTAAAAGACGCAAATACCCATTAATAGCTTAAGCTTTGCAACAACTAACAGCGTCTAGCGTCTACGGAAATGGATTTTTATCTCAGTTCAACTCAGGAATGTGACAACACCCTGTTTAAAACCAACCTCAAAGTGCACCGAGTAATTAAGATGTTCGAAACTAGCAAAGTCAGTCATATTTATCAATAAGTTTATATTATAAAGCAATATTTCCCTGAATTTGAAAGAAACTCCATTAGATTCCCTGATTTTTTAGGTCCAAAAATGAATTCCCTGATATTCTGGAATGAGGTGTCAAGCAAAAATTCAGTGCAAATGAAAAACTTCGAATGTGATTCAAAATGTCGTGTTGGGTTGTAAAAACAACGCGGAAGATTTTTTCGATTACCGCGAGTGAACAAACCGGTCTTTTTTCGGAGGCAGAATTTGGTGAGATCCATCTGATTTATAATCAATCATAAATGCATATTTCCATATATTACTAAATACGCGCCAGATTTCGAAACATCACATTTCGAAATCTGGAAGTGTGTTTGCAGTACCATTATTCATATGATAACGGTAGTGTTTACATGCGGGGCTTATTGTATGTGAAAGTAACCTCGGAATGGACGTGAATTACCAGGCATTCTGAAATGGGTTGCTGAATCTGCAGTAGAGCTATCGCTTTCTAACTCCCGGACTAAACTTGCTTTAAATTATTACATCAAGGATTGTTGTAAGCAAATTTCTTCCATAATACCACTGCCGGGCAGTGGGGGTTAGATTGAATACACACACACACACACACACACACACACACACACACACACACACACACACACACACACACACACACACACACACACACACACACACACACACACACACACACACACACACACACACACACACACACACACACACACACACACACACACACACACACACACACACACACACACACACACACACACACACACACACACACACACACACACACACACACACACACACACACACACACACACACACACACAGACACACACACACACACACACACAGACACACACACACACACACACACACACGCACACACACACACACACACACACTCACACATACACACACATACACACACACACACACACACACACACACACACACACAAAAATGAATTCCCTGATATTCTCTGATTTTCCTTCTTTCTTCTGGTAGTCGACACCATGTAGATAGGGGCTGTTCATAACCTACATGGGCACAAATCCAATCTTCAAATTAAGAAAAATTATTCATGATTTCGTGAACATAGCTTGTTTACATATTATAAAAATACACCAAGAATGATATTCATGATATCATCGCTATTTTTGAATAACGCAATCAACCATTACGATATTTTCAGTTGTTTAAATTATCTTTAGCTCATAAACCAAAAAAATGTAAAAAAATAAAAATAAATGGTTTAGATTGGATTCGAACCATGATTTTAGATCATCAAACCCATCGTTTGACCACTACACTATCAGTACTTGTGCGTTTTATGAGCACGGTTTGACAGGTACGTGTGACGCTTGTACCGGTCATGATAAATGCTCTTGATCCCATGAGAATTTATCATGACCGCTACAAGCGTTATTATTGTTCATGATATTCGTCGTTGAATCATTGTTATGATTGTTATTAATCATGATTTTGTATTCATGATAATGTTTCCGTGTACGTAGACACTTTTGAACGGATTAGCGAGTGTCTACGGCCCATACAAATTAAAAAAAAAAAATGGGTGAACGATTGTCTACGTGGCGGGAGAGGGGAATCTAAAGCCTGTCAAACCCGGTCTACCGGTTTATGAACAGCCCCATAGTAAACTTCGTGTTGCCGCGAACTTTATGTGACCGGATCGTCCATCGGAGTCCAGAATCAGCACCAGTACCTGCCAAAATGGTTCTTTTAATTTCTCTGCAAGCGTTATTCTAGGCGGACACCAGTGTTCGTCAACCACCTCGATTTCTTCACCGTTAATTCGAACTCGAGGTGGATGGCTTATATTATCTTCTATTGAAGCTTTTCCTCTTATGAATTTTGCCTTCAATGACGAGTTCAATCCGACTGGCTTCAGCCTACGGTCTGTTTAACGTTTCCGCCATATTTCTTCTCAAAGTATGGTGAATGTCATCGGCGCAGTCAAGAAGCAGGATGTGATTTCTCTTCGGATCAAACCTTCCAAGGTGATATTAAACAGTTGACACGACAGTCCATCACCTTGCCGTAGTCCTCTTCGAGATTCGAAGGGACTCGAGAGTATCCCCAAATTCGGACAACGCACATCACTCGATTCATCGTCACCTTGACTAGGGATACTGATTTGAAATCGATGAGTAAATGGTGTGTGCGCACATTGCATTCGCGATATTTCTGCATAACTTGCCGAATCGTGAAAATCTGGTCCGTGGTTGTGAGGGTATCCATAAATCCCGCCTGGTATTCTAATCTAATCTAATCTAATCTAATCTAACACCAACACAGCCAGTTCATGAAATCATCCTTTGGGGGCCAATGATTTTTTTTAATGAAACGTATACAAAATGTTCATTGTCTGGAAGAAAGCCCCTATGCAAAAAATGGGTTTAGTCGGACATGATTCAGGGGTGCTGCAAAGCGATCATAGTTTGAACTATTATCATCTGTCAATAATCTACTTCGAAAACTTAGAAAAATCAGATTTTTCGTTGATGCCGGATTACTTAAAAATGCATCAAACGTCGGGATCTACTGTTAAATAATTTTTAATTTTATTTTTGCAAAACTCATTTTTTTTTTTGAATTTTACAAATAATTTCTATGTCTCAGGCGCCGGCGGTGCAGTGGTAAACGTGACTGCTTTCTCACACCAATGGGTCTGGGTTCAATCCCAGTCGAGGTCGGTGGGATTTTTCTGAGGCATAAAAATCTCTGGTCACGTCTTCCTTCGGAAGGGAAGTAAAGCCGTTGGTCCCGGCCCATGTGTGTTGATGAATGGGTGCGATCGCAGGTGATCGCAGGTGTGGAAGCTGCCTTCCTGCACATTCGATTACCGTCAAAAGGATGGCAATCGATGTCCGTCGGTGATTGGCACTAGATTGCGGAACAGAGACCGACGTTAAATAAAGGAAAGTAAACTATGTCTCAGTAAGTAAATTATGAACAAAAGATTTTTTCTACAGATAACACAATTGACATCAAACAAAAAAAATCGATTCCCGAAAATTCACAAAGTTAGAAAGGCCAAAAAGTTGGTAACACTAGATCTCGACGTTTCATGCATTTTTAAAACATTTTGTATAAAAAGTTTTCGATTTCCGAAATTTCATGGTCCTTGGGATATTTTTCAGATGAAGTAAGTTTAAACTTTAAACCGCTTTTCGGCACCCTTAAATCATGGCTGACTGAGCCAGTGCTGAGATTTGTCATTGTCATTGACAGACTTTCGCGCGATATTGACAAAATTGTTCGTCACATAGTCACTGACAGACTTGATCCTCAAAAAAACCTTCGTCAAAATCTCATTCATTTTTTCGTCAATGACAAAGATTCACCTGGTAACAAAAAGTGTAATTTAGTACATTCTGTGTCACATTATTGTTATCCAAGTAGCTCAGGACGTAGATACTTGTTCACTAAAATGGATCCATGTAGTTGTTTTGCTCAAGTCATTTAATGTTGTTACAAATTTAACTAATAAACAAATCTGCACATGTTCGTCACTGACACCATTGTCATTGACAATTGACATGGTTTGCCTTGACTATGACTGTTAGCTAAAATGAGTGACCAAAGCAGAATTGTCAATATCACCGTGTACTGTCGAGATTTCGCAGCACTGGACTGAGCCCACATTTTGCATATTGTCTTTTCAGCCCAAATTTTGCATATTTGTCGCATTAGCAATGCACAAAATATATCAAAACTATCAAAGATTTAAACATGACGGTTCAGAATCCAATAAATGGATGAAACGTGAACATCTCATACCGTACGTTCCGTTGTATTGTTATTTATAAATGACGAGCTGAGTGTGCCCGGCCTTGTAAATTAAAAAAAAAGCATACTATATTGTACGTAACGCCCCTCCCTCTTATGTAAGGGGCTACCCCCTATGACCTCAACATGCGAAATTTGGTTCCATTTGCTTGATTAGTTCTCGATTAAGCAAAAATTTCTGTATTATTTGTATGGGAGCCCCCCCTTACAGAGGGGGTAGGGGTTTCGAACCATCATAATAACCTTTTCCTGCCCCAAAAACCCCTGCATACAAATTTTCACGCCAATCGGTTCAGTAGTTTCCGACTCCCAAAAAAGAGAACCTTCAAGCACAAAATCGTCACTGAAGAGATGACTCTCATGCCGAATGAACCAATCGGATCTTCAGAGAAACTCTTGCACAATCCACCTCCAATCAGAATAATCGGACCAGCCTGCAAATCGGGTAGTAACAGTTCTGAAAAAAGGATACTGATAAAATACACTTAGGAATGCATTCTGATCACTTGCACTTGCTTTGCACTTTCTTTTCATAACATCTCTGATCACGCCTTCCTTCGGAAGGGAAGTAAAGCCGTTGGTCCCCGGTTCATGAAGTTGATGGGTCGATAGGTAGGGTGCAGGTGTGGGAGCTGCCTCTCTGGTGTCGGTAGCATTGGTGCTCAGCACGGAAAACAAGATCGAAGGAAAACAAATCAAAGAAAAAAAAACCCAATTTAAAATTGATAGTTTCGTATTGATTGTTGCTTATACCCCGTACAGACTATGGCTTAAATCATGTAATATAGGCTGTCTTGCAATGACCACTCATACAAAGGACTTACAGTGAAAATTTGATGTATGAGTGCTCATTGCAAGGCAGCCTATATTACATGATATAAGCCATAGTCTGTACGGGGTGTATTAAACCGAAAATTTGACCCTGGGAGTTTTTTTTTGTCCGTACAGAAGCAGAGCATAAATCGGGGATGATCCACTATGTCGCGTATGCGTATAAAATGGGTATACGTATGGGTATGTCACAATAGAAGCCCGCCACAGTGGAAATCCCGAGTCACAGTTCAAACACTTATCCCAAATCAAAATGAAGCACATATAAGATTAGTTACAATACCATGTACAAAAATGGTGTTTAACATTGTTCCCTGAGTAATACCTCAATGCAAACAACAATGAAAGCTTGTCACGCAAGTAGTAGGAGCACTGTTGGGCACTTTCTGAAATATTTCAATAGTATAATTCCCTCGCAAACCCAAATAAATCTATCTGCGTAAAAAAATAAGAGTGAGGCAAAACCCGCCAGTATCGCACTCAACGTCAGTGCCTATATGTAAGCGTACTACGACGCGGCTCACAATCAAAGGTCGCTATTAATCGATGCATAAGAGATACAGATTTAAGGTATTACAAATGTTGTACTTAATACCAAAACCTACAAATAGTGATGTCCGATATTTCCAACTAATCGATTATTTACTAATCGATTTATTTTTTTATTGATAGTAATCGACATCGATTATACGACATGAAATAATCGATTAATCGAAATAATCGGTTAATTTTAATACTCTCTGATAACAAAGAAAACCAACGTCTTTAAGAAAGTGTTTTAACTAGATGTAGATTACTCATCCTTGGTAATTTTTTTTTTCGCGAAATAACAATTTAATAAAATACACTTTTACTCTTTAACGCTTATTATCATTTTTATTAGAAGTGCATTGAGAGTAAATACAACTTGCATCTTTATGACAAACTGATTTGGACTGCAATCTCATTGCCTGAAAAAAAAACACTCGAACCAAACAGATTACGGGATGTTCATTAACTACGTAGACATTTGTGGGATTCTTGACCCCCTCCCCCTGCGTAGACAATTGTCCATACACAATTTTGTAAATTTATATGGGCCGTGGATAATTGCAAACCCCCACCTTAAATGTCTACGTAGTTAATGAACAGCCCTTCAGGAATAGTATCATGTTGAGATGAGAGCCAGATAAACGGTTTCTCAGCTTTGTTACTGTCTGACCTTCTTTAGAGAACATACGTTCTGAACTTCAGGTTGGGATGGAACATAGTTTAATCGATGCTCTGTTGGCTTGGTGGTCTATATATACTAAAATAAATTTAGCTCCTGGTTCCAATGAATATTTTAATTATCGTTCAATAATCAAAGCCAATTCAATGATTATCAGATAATCGGGGCATTGAATAATCGATTAAAAATTAATCGATTATTGGAACAGATAATCGATTAATTCGATTAATCGAATAGTAATCGGACATCACAAAGTTTCATGCATCATTTCACGAAATTCTGTTGATAAAAAAGTTAGAGGCAATTGAATGTAAATGAATGCACGAAATGAATGCAAATGATTTACCATACCAGCGTATACTACCCATAATCGCATAGCTGTCCCATCTTTGCTTGATTTCCTATCCATATGGGACTGATATGCGATATCAGTTTGGAGCCGTCGTGCCCAAGTAACATTGCATGTTTTATAATGGTTTTAAACCACGCTACAAGTTCAAATCATGGCCTACAGAACCCTCAACCCGCCGCTATGGCAGTGCTACTTTGGCATCACTTTCATGCCTTTTATTTTATTTTATTTATTTTAAAGAATTCGCGCGCGTACGGACTTAGGACTTAGTGGCAAACATATGGGTCGCTTGAAGTTACATAATTGCATTCTTGCCTGAGCGATGGCTCGGTGCCTGGAGTGGATAATTAAATAGACTAGTTCACTTTGGTTATGGTTTTGTTAACAGTGTGGAAATGGTATACTAAACTACCTACACACTTAAAATTTTTCGCCGAGATTCCAACAGCCGAGCAGTTCTGCAATTTATTTTGCTAAGATTCAGTAAAACAATTGCCGAGACTCAGCTAACAAATAACTATTTGCTGAGATATCAGCTAACAAACAGATATTTTGCAGAGATATCAGCAAAAGTAAATGCCGAGGTAATCGGCTGTTGGAGATTTTACCGAGCTAGATTAAGTGTGTATGCCGGTTCGGATATCCCTACAGCGATCTTCAAGAGTAGTTAAGTGAAACTTAGGAATTCGGTATATCTAAGAAAATATAAAAAGGCCAAACTTTTTGAACAACTTTTTTTCTGTTTAATTCAATAGATGTATGAAATGCAAACCGGAATAGTTAAATAATAAAAAAAGTATCATGGTATCTTGTGTCGACTCATATCAGTCCTCATCATCGTCACTGATAACAGCTCGGCGATGATTTTTGGTCCTTTTCGTCACGCCTTCTTCCTCTGCGTCCGACAGATCTGAAGTTACTGATCTTCCACGTTTGACCCCTGCGGTGAGCTCACTCGCTCCGTCATAAATCCGTTCCTCCCCGCCTTCATCATCCGAAACTACAAGACGGACCTGTTCGCTGTCCGATTCCGGCTCAGAGTCTGAGTTTATAATGATTTTTGACTTCTTCTTACGAGAAGTTGTCGGTGCTTGTTCTTTGCTGGTTTCATCCTCATCGCTTGTTACTATCAGAGAACGATGACGAGGAAAATCGGTTAGGTTTTCTAGTTCGTCATCACTAAGTCTTTCGTCCGGCTCCATTTCATCGCTCTGTTTAGCCAAATCGTTTAGATCGAATTGATTGTTTCTCTTTTTCTTTGTCGTCCGTGCTACAGTTTTCGAAGCGGGTTTCATGTTTTCTTTGGCCGACTTACGTTTAAGAGGTTCTCGAACATCACTTTCGTCATCACTCTTACTGTACAGGACATTCGCTTTGTTTCGCCATGTACTAAAAATGTCTTCCGACACTTCCGGTTCGTCTTCGTCCTCGAAGGGATGAGAAACATTTTCCACCGCCAAAGGTTCTGACGCTTCTTCTTCCGCTGGATTTTCTTCGGCTGATAGATGCTCACCTTTCAGGATTCCGACGCGCAGTTGTAAATCTTCAGGTTTCATGCCTACCGGAATGCGCCAGTAAGCTTCCTGTCAAAATTAATTCGGAAAAGATAATATACCAAACATCTAAAATCATAATTAGTGGCAGATACTCACAGTTTCGGTTGGTGCATCGATTCCTAATTCTTTGAGCAGTTCCTTGAACTGTGGGTGCTCAAGGGATTGTCGTTGTAATGGCAAAATTGGAACCAGTGGTACACCATCATCGGGATCTTCAGAGTCTTCTTCGTAGTCTTCGCTTGCCTCAGCAAACGACTCAGTTAACCATTCAATGGCTTCCTTCATAGATTCTTCAATTTCCGACAAAATTGTTCGCAATCGTTTGAAGTTCAGCGTTGATGTTGATGATTGGTTACGTCTAGCTTTATTGTTAGAAGCTTGATTCGTTCTGGTGTGCTTTGAGGGTTTTGTGGGGCGATTTTGGTAGTCGTCCTCATCGGAATCGGATGTTAAATCGTCACTGCTCATAGGATCTCCTCTCTCGCCCGGGGCTTTCTTCGCACGAGATTTTTTCGGTGGTTTCACCTCAGATTTGTCCGCTATCAATCCCAGCGAAATCATACGTTTAACGATGGACTGTTTCGAGCGTGTTCCGTCGAATTCTCCAGTGATGATAGCTAATACGTTCTCGTTCAAACGGTGTTCGTCATATAATTGTTTCAGCTTTTCATCTTGGTCGGATGTCCACAGATTCCTATTCTTAGCAGCAGCATTGCTCTTTTTGGTCGGAGCCTTAAAAATCAATCCGAGCTCCTTGAGTTTCTTGATTATACCCCGCCGGGTACGCGTTTTATCAATCAAATTATCCAGTATCCAGTCGATAACGTCTGCGAATAAATCGAGCAAAGCATAATGACGGAATCATAATGTGGTCTTAAGTGAGAAAAACGAGCAATTTGATAGATAATAGAATTAATTAAAAGCGAATTGAACAATTGATAGCGAAAGGTACAATTAAATGTAGAGAGCGACGGGTAGAAATAGGAGAACCAGAAAAAATGTCATTTTAACGCTGGTAGCGAATGGCAAACAGTTTTCGAAGTTCTTTTTTCTATTCATTTCTATTTAGGTAGAATAAAATGGGGACCGCAATTTCCACAGTTTAAAAAGCACCGGAGTTTAGTTTCCGTATTTCTCGTATATTTCAAGCCCAGATTAGAAAAATTAAACCGATTCTCATTCAGCACTCGAAATAGATGAAACTATTTTGATAATAGAGATTATTACGTCCGGTTGTATTCGTGCGATGTGTAAAAATGTGGTGTGAATTCCGGAGGAGCATCCTTCTATCTTGAGATAATTTTTAAAAATATTAATTAATTTATTGAACAATTGGAGATCTTCAGAATAATAGCAGTTCAACGCGAATTCTTGAAAAAATATCCAAAGAGCTTTTTGGATATCAATCATTAACTGAAGCTCTTTGAAATAATTCCTGATCAACCTGATGTCTTGCCTTGTCTTTTCTTGAATAATTCCAAATCAATCTACTTTCTTGCGAAAATATCTTGAGACATGATTTGTTTTATTAACCAATTAGAGATCTTCAGTATAATAGGAAGAATATTCTGAGCCACCTGCAATCACTAGAAAATATCCTAGAGGCGTTAATTGAAATGTTGGACAGCTGACGATCTTCAGAATGATATATGATCATCCTGAAAACTAGCAGCGGTCTTCATCAATGCCTTTGATCACCTGAAGGTCTTTGGGATAATTTCTGAACAGAATCGATGGGCCTCCACTCCCGGACCCAGTTAACGTTAACAAGGCTTTGTGATCCGGGTACCTTTCTGGATGTGGCCAAAATCTATCATGTGAAACATCAATCCACATTGGCTACACAAGGTCATGTGTCGGCCCAGAAAGTGGCCATAATCTGACAACTCAATTCCCATAAGATAACCAGATCAATGCTTATATTATTGAAATGATTATGTTATATTACAAGACCAAGAAGTTTCCTCTGCTTGTAAAAAAAGAAGAACAGCGCCTCTTCTCTCTACAACAAATCCATTACTATGTTGGCTGTCAAAATGACACATTTTAAACATCAATGCAAACTGGAATATTGCATAACTGTATATTTAACTTGTTACAGATAACACCATTTTAAAATTGTTGCCGAAAACATCGTTGCAACGTTTTGGAAAACTACGGAAATGGTGTTTTTTACAGTAATTATAATTATCCTGAATTGAATAGCTTAATCATCTTATCCTTTCTTTCTTTATTGAAGAGACTTTCACTAGCTATGGCACGGTAGCATCAAACCGAAGACGATGGATATTGGATTTAATTAACATTCATCGAACGCCGGATTCAATTTATGGATAAACTACAATATTGTTTCGGGAGTCTGATCACTTGCTCGAAGGTACCTGCAACATGTCTGGATATGAACATGTAGTTTTGGATTTATGACTTCCATTAATCTTGTGTTTGAATTCTCTTGTGATATATTATAGTCTTTGGATACATAATAACCTGAACATGTTCTGTCCGTATCTCTGGAACCAGTTGATTTATAAAATCTGTGATCTATAGCCAAAATACCATTAGTTTGGTTGGCAAGAAACACGTCTTCTAAAATTTTAAAGTACAACACACATATTTGCATTGCCGGCGTATCAAAAATTGTAACGGCGGCGTATCAAACATCATCACGGCGCCGCGCCGACTAAAAATGTCGGCGGTGGCAGCGTGTGAAAAAGTGTAGTCAGCAGTGGCGTAGCGCGGCGGCACACAGGTCTAAGTAGCACCCTACCCTACATGATCTTCAATACTGATGATAAAGACTGTATCGACTATGAATACAGAATAAAAGTGATTTATTTATAAAGATTTCGTTTATTGTGTAATCCAGATTGATTATTCAAGAATCAAATAAAATTTATCATTTAATTTTTCGTGCATTTTGCCAGTTCTCGCATTTTTTTCTCAATGTTCCACATAAGATTTTGGACAACTGTTCCATCGATGCTTTTGCTAACGTTTATCCAGTCTTTTTGGCATTTTTATTCTCGATAGTAAAAAAGGCAATAATTTCATACCACATTTGCAAATCGCTTACCAAACCAGCACTTTTTTCCCAAATTTTTCGCAAAGAATCGATTTTTCCGAGTAAGGGACTTTCGTTCCATGCTTCACAGTAAAAAAAATGTGCGAAAACGTTTCGTAGTCCTGCTTGACATACGTCTCGTCATCTATTATTATACACACTACATTTTGCTCAAACCACCATCGTACGGTTTACGAGCTCGAGATTTCATGGATTCTGCTTAAATATGGCTGCGTTTGGGACATTTTTGTGTTCTGAAGGTCTTGAGAGAGTTATGTTGCTAAGAACGTTGAACCATCCCAATTGAAGTTCTACACTTTTTTACGCAATCCCTGATTGATACCATCTTTTTGCTTTCATACACTTTACATATCTTTTTGTCCAAATCTGAAGTAGATGAACCAATTTTCGACCACGACCGGGTAGATCCTTCAAAGTAATATGCATACTTAACCGCTTGATTGCATTTTAGACTGCACAAATACTAACTTCTTCTTGCTTCGTCACTTTTCTTATTGATAACCCATTTACGGTACAGTACTTTATAAGACACTGTTCCGATACTCAGAAAGGCGGGAGGTTTTCACGGGTATAATCAATTTCTTTCAGGTTCGTGTTACAATTCACAGGTAAGTATATTCTTCCCTTTCAGGTATGATCTTCATCACAGGTAAGTAATGCTAGTCCACATACGATTTATTAATCACCAATAGTTTCTTTTTATTTCACTAACGTGGCTTTAAGCTACTAATTAAACTCTTAATTTATTTAACTTCTTATTAGAGTATATAATTCACAATTTTTAATCTTCACTGTAAGTAGTTCCACTATTCCTCGCTTGATGCTAATCTGCTGGTCGGTATAATCAAAAAGAGTCGCCCTAGACGGGTTTCTTAGGTTTTTATATTGACTGAATCATCGGAAGTCATTGATGACACGACTGATGACACATCATCGGTTTCGGTTCAGTGCAGGATCCAATCTGCCTAGGTGGTGAAATTCGTCGATGTAGCCATGATGCAAAAGACAGGTACGGAGAATTGGCTTTTAACGCATGCTGTGCGAACACACTGGCCCCTGCAGAAATCGCATTTCTGTCACGCAAACTCGATGACGATTGTCGATCAATCAAGCGGCTATCATTGTCACTGTTGAGTTGAGTCGATGGCGATCTCGATGATTGTTTACATTTGTTGAATGCTACGGCTGACGTTGCTGCTTCACATTGTATTTTTATTGCAGGTGCATCAGGAGCAGAAAAGCGGCAATTTTCATTCGTTGGAGACTGGATGGCTGGTTGCAGTTTTGGTGTTGGAGTTCTAGTTCAACTTGGAAGATTCCTCTGGTGCAGCAGTAGATGCGATTGGTAGCAGGCAAATTTTCGTCACTGGTCGCGTATACTTGCCGGTTGCAGTTCGAACGGTGACTACTCGAACAACTCCGTCTGGTCCGGTATGAAGTTCGTCGATTCTGGCTGTCGGCCAGTGCATCGGAGGAAGGTTTTCGTCCATAAGGATAACGAGCTGGTCCTTGTTGAGCTGCACAGGCGGATTACACCATTTCGTTCGTGGCTGTAGTGTGACGAGATATTCCCGATGCCAGCGGTCCCATATTTGCTGGTAGAGTTTTTGTGTTTGCTGTTATTTCCTCAGACGGTTGAAGGGAACGGCGGAGACATCGACATCAGGCACAGCTTTCAGGGCGCTCCCAACCAGGAAGTGGCCGGGTGTTAGGGGTTCCAGATCAGACGGATCATCACTGATAGGTACGAGTGGCCTGGAATTAAGACAGCATTCTATCTGCGATAATAACGTCTCCATGTCGTCGTAAGCGAGCGTCTGCGTTCTAAGTGCTCGGATAAAGTGTCTTTGTGCTGATTGGATTGCGGCCTCCCAGAGGCCACCGAAATGAGATGCTTTAGGAGGATTGAACTGCCAGCGGATATTGTTATTGACGCACTCCTGGGCGATTTGATCCTGATGTTCCTTGCTTCGTACTAGCTGAATTACGGCCGTTGTCACTGTAAATGACCGAGCATAATCCCCGACGTGAGACGAAGCGACGCAAAGCTTGCAGGAATTTGGCGGTAGTTAGGTCGGCAACTAACTCGAGATGGACAGCCTTTGTGCAAAAGCACACAAACACCGCGACATACGCTTTCCGTGGAGATGCTCGCCGGTGTGCTGGTTGGATGGTAATCGGTCCCCAGTAGTCGATTCCGGTCGTTGAAAATGGCCTCGCTGCGGTTATTCGTGCTGCTGGTAGTTCCGACATAAACTGTTGTAGTCGTTTCGGACGAGCTCGGAAGCAAATAGTACACTGGTGGAAGATGTTTCGGGCCAGGTTTCTGGCCCCAGTAATCCAATAACGGAGGCGAAGTAGGGTTAGTAGTAACTGAGGAGCGGCTTGCAAATGATTCTCGTGGAAGCTACGAACCAGCAGAACAGACAACGGATGCGCAGATGGAAGGATGATTTGGTGTTTACTGTCGTAGGTTTGCTGCGATCGATTTAGACGACCCCCAATACGGATGAGATTTTCCGAGTCGAGCATTGGCTGGAACAATTTCAGGCGAGACTTTCCGGAGACGGGCTGTTGCCGCTGAAGGGATTTCCATTCGTTAGGGTAGGTTTGCTGTTGCACTAATCTGATCAGCGTATTTTCAGCTCTTGCTTTTTCTTCCATGGTGATGACGTGTGATGCTGGTCTAAGTAAATTCTGAAGCCGACAGTTTTGCAGAAAACGCTTGCAGTAGGATGTCACTCT